TGGGTGACATTTGCACGGCTTGGGCAACCCACAGTCTAAGAGCAGTTTTAATGCCGGGCATAATGGACTTCAAAAGGAAGGTCCTGAGCGAGGGTGGTGATTTTACACAGGTTGCAATACAGAACATTATTACAAAACATGGACTAAACGATGATCTCTGCTGGATTGGACGAAGATCTAACGTTCGACCACACTGATTGCCAGATAATGAATATTCAGCTTACCAGACCTGCAGAGAAGATGCTTGCAAAACCCAATTGAAGTTTCAGTCCAGGGCAGTTCTGCGAAAATGTCATACAGTAGACCCTTTAATATCATGGGTTTATTTTTTGCGGTTTCGACCGATCACGGGCAACCTCTTTGCATACCAATTTACATAGTATTGGGTCTTTCAGTAAAGTCACGTAGATAGGTTCAAAGAAAATAACAAAATACCAATTTACACTTTCCTGGGAAGACTGTTCTGGATAGGAGGCCGGGGTGGGTGAGGAACGCGAGGAAATCGGTGGCACCTCAACCTTTGCCATGCAAGCATTTAGCCTTAGACTGTTAAGGCAAGTAGCACCTATAAAGGTTGGCACGGCATACAAAGGGTTAGGTTACCAGCACCATTCCCGGCCGCCTTTGTCTCCCCAGTGGCGATGTTTACACAACACACCAGGTACTTATTTGAGGCTGAGTCGACCTGGGAAGGCCCAGGGCCAATTCAGATAATCGTCATGGTTTTGGGCGCTAGAGGAAATTGAACTCAGGTCGCTGGGTTCATAGCGCAGCACGCTAACTGAAGCACTACCACTCTCCACTCACGCACACACATCATCATCATTGTAAGTAGAGTAGTCAGTATTTAGAATCTTATTTATTCTCTTGAAATGTTTTTTTCTATAGAGTTTCTACTTGTTTATTTCAATTTTTGTTTTTAGTTTAGTTGGCATGCTGTACAGTACTTATTTCAATTGTGATGTGTATTTTTGGTTGCCGTTTACCTAACCCCATTGTTTCGGTAAGGCTTAAGTATTGAATGTCGCTGTTTTGGCTTTCTTGGCACGTTTCTTGATGTTATCAAGGCCTAAGTACCATGAAGAGGCTTCGGCTTTTGGTTGTTAATTGTTTTCGATATATCTGCCCCGCTGCTCACATTAAGGATTTTTATGATTTTTGGCAGGCTCGGAAAATGCTGCGTGACAAAGATTCGGAGCCGTTTCCTGTTCAAGTTGGCGTGTGACCGGAATTCCCTCTGGCCACAAACATTACGGTAAGTCCTCGGGTAGCGGAAGACCCGACTCACGGAAATCCAACCTTACGGAAATGCTCCCATAAATCATTAAAAAAAATCAACATGCGGAAATTTTTGCTTTAGTTACTTAAGCGCAAGTAGTCCAGCGCGGTGAGGTTGTGGATGAATAACGCTGAGCGAGGCATAAGGCAAGCAGCATCTTCCCCAAGGCGGTGGTGTATAGCTGCTCTGCACTCTCAGTCATGTTGTTACATCGATCGGAGAGGTCGCGGCCTAGTCTATGCCCGGTATATGAATATTCGGAAGTGACTTTTCTTTTAACAATTAATATTATAATGTCTCATGGTGTTCATTGATATTTGGATAAGTTTTTCTTCCATTAGTTTAATTATGGGTAGTGTTAGGGTAGATATTCGATGAAATCGTAGGAAGTGCAGAACGTATTTACAGCAATACGATACAGGTCGCGATAGAAAACGGACTATAGCGTGATACAGTACTGAGAGAAAATGAACAAGTAATTGGGTAGGGGCAGCACAACTATTTCCGGCTATGGGATTTTGTCTTGATTTTGGGGGAAAATTGTTCAGTTTCCGACATGGGAAATTCGGGTTACGGATCGTTCCCGGGAACGTAACCCTTCCATGACCCGTGGACTGTCTGTACATTAAGATTGCATCTTCAATATTTACATAGTTTTGATAACCTCACAATGGCTCTACAAAAATGCATTTGGTACAGTTACAATGAGAGGCTAATCGATGGCTGGTTATAGTTAAGGGATCGTTTCCTGCTGGTCAACCATGTTATGTATGCTGATGATCTGGCAATGGCTACTCAATGCGATGGAGTTAGGGACTCTTGTTCTGTACCTGGAGAATTTCATCATGAGGAGGAGCCTTACATATGTTTCACAAAAATAAAGCACCTGCCTGGGTATTTCACGTCATCCAACATTCCGTCTGCTCGCCTCTTAGTGAGTAATCAGGCAGTTCTATAGGTGGTGGAGGAGCTCCCATACTTGGTTAATGTGTTCACGACCAGCTCTGGTTTGGCAGCTAAAGTCTCAATTCAAACTAGTCGAGCAGCATTCTTTAATTTGACTGCCTAACATGGTGAGGAAGCTGCCTGTACCATTGCTCCATGTAAATCACTGAATCTTCTTGCCCACAACTATGACCCCTTTCTCTGTGGATGTGAAATATGGACTCCTTTAAAGAACCATCTGTGCTGGCTTATACAATTAAGGCTGGCCTGCCCATGATTCATCCTCTATTGAGCCAGACTTGATGGTTTTCGAAGCTTACAAATCCCTGAGATATCCATACATAATATAATCAATGAGGCTATTTGTCAGGCGAGGCTGCATTCGTTGGTCCTGAACCCCGCATGCTCAGAAACTGCATGCTCAAGCAGCGTAAGTTAAATTTTGATTGAAAGCTTTCGTGACTGCAGTAATTCATATTCTTAGCTCTTTCGGTAAGGTCACGTTGAAGGGAAACAATAAAATAATAAAATATATATAAAAATAAAAATTCTCACGACGTTTCGACCATAACACAAACGGTCATCATCTGGTGTGTCGGTTTGCATAAATTTATTTATTTTTAAACGGTGTATTTATTTATAAAAAACGTCAGCGCCATGCGCAGTGATTTGGCAGTTTGTTTAGAAGGACGAGTCCATCTATGTTCTGAAAAGAGGAGGGGGGAGACGAAAAAATTAATGTATGCTGTCTGAAAGCCACTGTAAGCGTGAACAATCAATTAAGACCTGAAATGATTTATCAAATCTTTCCAATGATTGCTAAGCCAGAATCCATCTTCTCGGTTGAAATTGTCTCTGTGCTTGTATATGTGGATAGCCTCATGAACGAATCTCTCATGGTAGCCAGATGGCTTACAAAGAACCTCTGTCTTGGAAAAGTCAATGTCATGTGAGCCTACTGAATCATAACAATGATCTGCCACGGCCGAGGTGTTGGTATCGTGTTTAAGGTCTGCTTTGTGTTCACGAATGCGGTCCGAGACATGGCGTTTGGTTTCTCCAATGTAACTACTACCACAGAGGCAACTTAGTTTGTAGACACCAGGGTACTGTATGTCCGGAATCACATCTTTTACAGACAGAACCAGATCACGGATTTTATGTAATGTGTTGAAACGGACCTGGATCTTGTGTTTATTCAAGATTTTGGAGATCTTTTTTTGTGATCCCCGCAATGTAGGGTAAAGTGATGGTTTTGAAAGGCTCCTCAAGAGGGTCCTTCTTCATGGTTTGAAGTAGTTGGAGGCAATCGTCCTGCAACAACGAGGCCAGAGGAGTGACACATCAATGGGTGGAGCGCTGGGTGGCTAAAATGCAGCAAGTTGGCACAGTGGGTAGCACAGGTGGTGCATCTACCAGTCATCTCAGTCATCCCTTGACTCCTGGATCATTCCCATGACCTACTGTCAAGTGCTCCACACTTACATGGCCTCAATTCACACCAATCATGGCATGACCACTGTGATGATGTTAGCACCAATTAGTGGTGAATGGTGGCTGTTTTCTTGATATAATCTGTTAATGATCAATGTGAAACATATCTGTATGTAAGAGTGTATCTATATGGGGAGCGGAGGCAGGTTTGTTCGTTCACTGCATTATGGAGCTAACATTCAGAGTTGTATTATCGCTGACATGATTGACAAGTGATAGCTTTACTTATTGTAGGCCTCTGCTGGGTTGATTGTTCCTAGGTTTAGTACTTTGTGAAGAGTATAAGCATCTAGCCAGGCATGGTTCTAGCCACAACACCACCTTCTCTGCCGTTCCAATGCGTGAGAGTGTAAAGTTTTTTATTTTTGCTGTAAAGTATATTGCCAATATTAAACACCTAGGTTTAATCAAAGCAATAGGGTTTTTTGTTTATTATACGTGTAAAGAAGCTCCTTGCAGACATCCATTTTCAGGGAAGTAGAGCTTTATTTCTCCGAACGTATATACAGTCCAAGTGTAACGACTGCCACACTCGTAATTGCTATGGCTATCTTCAGGCCCCGATGGTTTCCACCAAGTTGATACCTGAACAGTCAACCCCGATGGTTTCCACAATTGGCCCCAATGTCCTCCACCTCTACAGTGCCTTCCGGTCACCTGTTTACAATCATCACAACGCGCACCTTCTAGAACCCCCCTACACATGGAACGTTTCATAAGCATGGAAAAGACAGCACATGAAGCTGAAATTACATCTGTCCCTCCGAGCATTTATGCAAATCTGAGCCTGGCTTCAGACATACAAGTTGCGATTGCATATTAATTTGTCCATTTTATCATATATCTGCCCAATGCGAATATTTATATTTTTAACACCATTTGCTATTTTTAGCAGACTTTTGCAATAGTTAACATTTCTTCAATAGCCAGATACAACCGAAATTCTGTATGTGGAGTTACGGGTTATCATTGATTTTAAATATACTAGGGCCTCCAGGCATTATACTGACCACTTGCCTGCTATGCCAGTCCAAGAGCTAATTGTTAATAGTAGCAAGTGCCTTGAAACAGCCTGTGTGTTGCATTAGGAGTGAATGTTTTTTTTATTTCTCATGAATGTTTGAGCGTTCTTGTCTATGTAATATGTGAAAATCACGTGTGACTGTATATATATTTCTATGCTAACATACATTGTGTGGATATTACTGTTTTCTGTCTGCAGCTGCCAGTTCCTCTGCCACTTTGCTGTACAGAATTGGTCAGATGGAGCGAAGACAATCAGCGGGAGAGAAACCATTCAAGTGCACTGTGTGTGGGAAGACGTTTGCACATTGTTCAATTCTTCAGGCCCACCAGAGAACACACACGAGAGAGAAACCCTTCAAGTGCACTGTGTGTGAGAAGGCGTTTGCATGGTCATCACATCTTAAAAGACACCAAAGAATACACACAGGAGAGACACCCTTCAAGTGCACTGTGTGTGGGAAGGCGTTTGCATGGTCATCACATCTTAAAACACACCAGAGAACACACACGGGAGAGAAACCCTTCAAGTGCACTGTGTGTGGGAAGGCATTTGCATGGTCATCACATCTTAAAACACACCAGAGAATACACACAGGAGAAACACCCTTCAAGTGCACTGTGTGTGGGAAGGCGTTTGCACGTTCATCAATTCTTCACGCCCACCAGAAAACACACACGGGAGAGAAACCCTTCAAGTGCACTGTGTGTAAGAAGGCATTTGCAATGTCATCACGTCTTAAAACACACCAGAGAGTGCACACAGGAGAAACACCCTTCAAGTGCACTGTGTGTGGGAAGGCGTTTGCATGGTCATCACATCTTAAAAGACACGAGAGAATACACACAGGAGAGACACCCTTCAAGTGCACTGTGTGTGGGAAGGCGTTTGCATGGTCATCACATCTTAAAACACACCAGAGAACGCACACAGGAGAAACACCCTTCAAGTGCACTGTGTGTGGGAAGGCGTTTGCACATTCATCAATTCTTCAGATCCACCAGAGAACACACACAAGAGAGAAACCCTTCAAGTGCACTGTGTGTGGGAAGGCATTTGCACATTCATCATATTTTAAAAAACACCAGAGAACACACACACGAGAGAAACCCTTCAAGTGCACTATGTGTGGGAAGGCATTTGAAATGTCATCACATCTTAAAACACACCAGAGAATACACACAGGAGAAACATCCTTCAAGTGCACTGTGTGTTGGAAGGAATTTGCACATTCATCACATCTTAAAACACACCAGAGAATACACACAGGAGAAACACCCTTCAAGTGCACTGTGTGTGGGAAGGCGTTTGCATGGTCATCACATCTTAAAAGACACCAGAGAATACACACAGGAGAGACACCCTTCAAGTGCACTGTGTGTGGGAGGGCGTTTGCACATTCATCATATCTTAAAAAACACCAGAGAACACATACAGGATTCAAACCCTTAAAGTGCATTGTGTATGGGAATGGTTTTCAACAGTTAGGGGATCGAAACAAGCATCAAACCATTCATCAGGAAATTAATCTGAAATCGTCGTGTGGAAGTGAAAGTGCTGCAATGAGTCCATCCCTCATGAAACAAGAACCAGAAAAACATTTGAAATATGAAACGTGGCCAGGCGTGAAGGCAAAATGTCAAGAAGTAAAAATTACATTTGAATCAGTAAAGGTGAAGAGGGAAGAAGTGATGGTAAAGAGTGAAGTGATCGTGAAATGTGAGGATGAAGATTCAACTCCAACATCCGACCTTCACATCGATGGAGGCAGCGTGAAGCTGGAGGGGACTGTGGACTCTGAGGCAGAGCGAGGCAACGCCCAGCAATTTGTGGATGTGGAGGTGTGGGTGGATGTTTTAGGCAATACTGAGTCAAATGGAGACCAAGTAGATGTTTATCATAGAGCTTAAGATAAAGAAGTTCCATTTCATTCACAGGCCTTTCCCATAATAGATACATTTTGGGTTAGATCACGCAAATATATAAATTTGTCGTTAAAACCCGCCACCACCTGACAGCTGACTTGTAAGGGTTGTCACGTAAACAGAAGATGCCATACTCTGGTTCTTTTGGTAAAGTCACGTAGGTATAAAATACATTAAATCACGACGTTTCAATTGCAACCCAAGCAATCATCACCTGCTGATGATTGCTTGTGTTGCAATCGAAACGTGATTTATTTTATTTTATACCTACGTGACTTTACCGAAAGAACCAAGGAGTATGGATCCCTACAGTCACGAAAACCTCAAATCTAGACCGAACATGCCAATTCGTCACAAGTACAGCACACCGGTGTGTTGGAGAGCCATGCCACAACATTTACAATCTTAGTACGACGTTTCGCCAGTCATTACAATTAGCTTCAGGCGACAGCCAGATTTGTGCCTTTCCCATTGCAAGGGTTTAACCTCCAAGTAGTCAATAGAGGCAGCATGAAGCGGGAGGAGGCTGCGGATTGAGAGTGAAATGAAACCCAGCAGTTTGTGCAGGTGGACTTGTTGGAGGATGCAGAGTAGGAGCGGCCAGCATGTGTGGATTTGGAGGTTGGGTAGATCTGTAAGGGGGCCATCCATTTAGTAGGTACGCAAAAATCTCCCTGTAAGCACGCATACTTTTTACACCCCCCCCCCCCACTTGCATACGTACGCTTGACGCACCCCCCCCCCCCCCGGAATCCTATAGAATGGCCGATATTTAATCCACGCAGTAACGATCAAGGATTCATAATATTAACGTGTTTAAGCAAAGTCCAGCGCTGGACTATCTAACTCATTTGAAGGCCAATGTAGACAAATTATTATCGAGGCTTCACCCCCCCCCCCCCCCCGGTTTCCTATGCGTTCGTACATTGTCAGTAGACCCCCCCATACGCAAGCGTACGCATTTGGGTTAACCCTCCCCCTCCATGCGTACGTGCTAAATGGATGGCCCCGAAGCAGGAACGGGAGACAAAAAAGCTCCATAGCATTCAACGTGTTATAATAAGATTAGTGGTAAGTACCTGGCGTTGCCCGGGCGAAAAAGACAGACACATGGACTTACACACACTTTCTATGTACATGAGTTGAGTGGAAGAAGGTTGGAACAAATATAATTTGTCCAAACACAAACATGAATGTAATATTATCAAGGTGATTATTGAAAAGAAAGATTTCTATGAAGGTGATTTGACACCAAAAAAATAATACAGAGCAACCTATGGTTATTTCGGTAAAGTCACGTAGAATGAGAAAAATAATAAAATTAAAATAAGACAATAAAATTCTCAAGACGTTTCAGTCACAACACAAGCGGCCTTCAGGTGAAAGAACAGAACTGTCGGGACGACAGTGGTTCAATGAGTGCTGCCAAGATTCGCATCGTCTTTTAAGCTCGATGAGAGGCATGAAGCGCCTAGACAAAGGAGTTTACCTATCAAAGCAGGAGAAATAGCTGTGTTAAAGTAAAAGTTTACATATCAACAGGCACTTAGTGCCAAAGGTCTCCAACTACCCAACTATCATACAGTAAGCCAATGTGAGAAGAACTAAGTCTATATTACATCAATATAATAAGTGTACTCAATATATTCTTCAATAAGCTGAGCTATTAATCACAAAGCAACTGGGTATACACTACACTATAATGAATACCATATAGTCAACCAATAAAAACAAAAATAATAATAAACTACCTCAATGTGATCAATAAACTCTATATACTCTTCAATCAGTTGAGCCACCAACAATAAGTCGTTATATATCACAATGCCATATGGCGAAAAATGGCGGTTTTCGTCCCCTCAGCGCCAGCACCACGGACAGCGAACGAGCCCCGTTCAGACGGACGAGTCAATCCATGCTAGGAACGGAGGAGGGGGGAGAGAGACAGCCACAATGCGCTGTTATACTCCATGTTATAAACCATACCATTGACCGCAGAGCAAGTGAATAATAAAATAATAGTGAGCACAAACGAAAATATGTGAATATTTAGAAGGTGATAAAGATACAGGTTTTTGTGTACAAGAGTTGAGCGAAAGAAGCATGGAATACAGAAATTAGTTGTCTGCACACATTAATCTACATTGCGTCTTTAGGTAAAGTCACGCAGATATAAAAATAATGAAAATGTAAAAACTAGCACAATACCATACAACAACAAGAACCTCCATTCGGCACGAAGTGGCGGTGACGTCACGACGACACTTGTGGCAAGTTATGTGCACCTTGAGGCCACGTGAAGTGTCGGAACGCCTGCTGGCAGGAGGTGATGGGGCAGACCCAGATGCCACACGTCGACTGAGACGACTGGCTGATGCAACACCTGTGCCCCCCTAACGTGCCTACTTGTGCTTTAGCCACCCGACGCTCCGCTCATTGTTGTGAGCGTCGCTCCACCGCCCCCTGTTGTTTTTGGAGGACGACTGCCTCCGACTGGCCAGTAGCATCCTTCACGAGCCTCCACAGAGGCCGATGTTGAGACTGCTGGTACCAGTCATTGGCAAGTCCACTCAGCTGGACATCCTGCTGTAGCACATTATGCCATCTGTTCTCTTGCCCATGCTGCGTGTATTTCACCCCCACGATCCGGCCGAACAAAAGCTGTTTAGGCATGCGGTGGCTGGGCATGCGGGCTCCATGGCCCAGCCAACGCAGCCTTGCCTGCCAGAGGAGCTCACGGATGGGACTTTGTCCGCATCTTTAAAGGATTTGTGAGCTCACAATCGAGCGTGGTTAGACCGAGGATGGATCGTAGGCAGGCCAGCCTAAATGTTTGTAACTGGTGAAGATGTTCCATTAGGGGGATCGACGTTTCGCATGCGTAGAGAATGGAGGGAATGACTGGCCGAGAAGACCTGAAGCTTGGTGCGGAGCGACAGACCAGGTAGCTTCCACACACCGTTACGCAACCGATGAAAAGACAATGCCACTGGTCTGATTCGGAGTGAGACCTCTGCTGTTCAACCGGAGCCGGTCATGAGCACACTGCCCAGGTATGACAAACTCTCCACTCCACAAGCGGTCCATCACCAATTGGGAGTTGTGGGGGTGGAGTGTCCGATGGGACAAAATGCCCAGGCAGGTGCTTGGTTTTGGTGTGGCTGATGGCAAGGCCCCACCTCTTAGTGGCAACTCCAGGTTCAGCAGCAGTGCCTCCAACTCGTCCTCTGAGTGAGCAGCAATTACCAGATGATGGGCATATATAACGTGGTTGAGCAATAGGGACCCATCCCTTGACCGCACCCAGGCATCGATCAGCCTCCCATTGTATCTGTAGCAGATTGAAGGCATCACGAAGTACGTGGTAAAAATAGATGTGGGAGCCAGAGGACAACCCTGTCGCACGCGAAGGTGTAGAGGGAATGGCTCCGACTCACGGCCATGTAGTTTTACCCGGGCGGCAAAGAATATGAAATCCTGCAGTCACGAAAGCTGTAAGTGAAGATAAGTACAGTTATGTAATAATAGGAAGGTGATATTTTTAAAAAGTATGTATTAGAACGTGAGTTGACAAGAATAAAGATTATATTTGAACGTGAGTTCACACAATAATGAAGATGAAAGTAAAGGGCAAGTAATACACCAAAAATAATCGATTTGTATGGCATTGTGACGAATGCAGAATTAATAGAAATGTTTGTAGCTACGTGACGCAACAGAAAGTGGCAAAGAAGATGAAATCCTGCAGTCACGAAAGCTGTAAATGCAGATAAGTAATGTAATAACAGGAAGGTGATATTTCAAAAAATTGGGTGTATTAGAACGTGAGTTAACAAGAATAAAGATTATATTTGAATGTGAGTTCACACGAGAATAAACATGTAAGTAATGGGCAAGTAATAAACCGAAAATATTTATTGAGCGATTTGTATGGCGTTTATGGCATATTGACAAAAGCTAAATTTATTGAAATGTTTAGCTACGTGACAGAACCGAAACAGGCAAATAATCTGAATTCCTGCAGTGACGAAAGTTGTAAGTGAAGATAAGTAATGTAATAATAGTAAGGTGATATTGGCATGAAGAGGTGGATTTGAACGTGAGTTGATAGAATAATAAAGATGAAAGTAATGAGCAAGTTACGAAAAAAAATTGTTGTGAGCACAACCAAAAATGGTGATGAATAACAACAGTTTTGTATGTACGTGATTGTAGCATAAGAAGCAGGGAAATTTGTACTTACCATAGGCGTGGTGAGGCCTAGTCCCGTGCAGAGCCGCCGTCCTGGCCTACATTGCCGAGGCGGCAGAGGTGGCACGTGGGCAGGCTGGGGGCTGGGCCGCTACCCCCCCCCCCCCAACATCCCCCGGCCCGTGCAACAATAATGCTATCTGAGCAATATAATATTATCTACGGACTCTGCAGTATAAACTGGATGCATCGTGTTGGGGGGGGGGGGCAAAGAGGACATCACACTGTGAAGAAATATCCGCAGCGTTCTGTGTATAT